TTTTTTTTTGAGCATATAGTCAAAAGGATTTCTAGCATATCTCGAGCTGCTGTTTTTTCACAGCTTGAAATTCCATCTCTCTTGTGAACGAAGCCCTTCTTTGAAAATATGGAAAGGAATGAAATCGAACCACTCGTCTTCACTTCCGCGATCTTTGTGCTTTACGCACCTGTTGGAGCACCTATATTCTGTATGTACGTTCTTGCAAACTCCATTTAACTTGGGTATCAAAAATTAGCTAACAAGTGACCTAAAGCAACACGAGCCGGCGATGATTCCTTGTTGATCCAGAAGCTAACCCAAGACATCACAACGATCAGTGTACACGGCGTGTAAATTTGTAGGATGTAGAAGCCTTGCTGACGTTGTAGCGTAAAATATACTTTCAGTACAGATGCATCTGCAAAACAAGTACAAATTAGCTTACATATTCCCAACTCTTCCGCTTTTCTTTTTTTCAGTTTATGGCAAAAACTTATCAAAATTCAACTTGCTTAGCGATTTATCACGATAGTCGGTGATATTGTAAGACGTTTTGGTGACGTGTAGCAACTTATATTGCGCAAGCATATTGCTCATTTTCGAATCCAGTTCGACATCCTTCCACACATAAACAATATCCTTGGAAAAGTAGCCCAAACTGCCGATCTCAATTGGGCAAGCCTGAAGCTTTTTAATCTTGCATTTTTTTTATATTGCAAACAGTTCTCCCACGATTTTTCTGCTCATAATGTTTTTTCGAAAGGGAAAGATGATTTTGAGTCTACTGCCGAGAATGAGAATTTGGATTCTAGCCTCAAGCCGTAACAAAAAAATTAGTATTGGAACTTCAGTGCTTCAGTGAGGGGTCTAAAATTGTAACTTTAAATTCATACTCAGAACCTAGAACTGTAACCTTAAGTTACAGCTAGAAATCTGGGACTTAAGAGTGCTGTGATTGGCGGCGCGAAGAAGAACCACGGGTAGACACCCGCCTGGCAATCTGCTTATAAAGCAGTGACAATGACTGGGAGTCAGCAGGGCAGGGTTTCTGCCCGAGCCTCCAGTCTTTTTTTTTTAGTTGTGCAGAGATATTAAAGGCTGTAGATAGTTTGGCGGGGTGTTTTTATGTTATTGGGTTTATTTAAATAAAGTTTTGTTGGTTATCGAACTCAACAGGAGAGTAGGGAGGAAACAGTTGATTTAAATGCAGTATGAATAGTGACCGCAAGATACCAAATATGGAGTAGACTAAAGGAGTGACTTAACAGATCTGTAGCTGGATGCCCTAGTACGTATGGCTAGTTGTGTGCCCACAAAAGTTAGATGTAAAAAATGCATAACCGTAAGGGTTAAGTTCCCACTATGTGTTTTTTTCACTGCGCTTAAAAATCTCAAAATTTGCTTACCTGCGAGTCCATTGGAAATTTTTTGAAGAACATTTTACATCGAGCTCGTATTGTCAACCTGCAAAGTTATTGATATATACCTGATCTCGTGAAAGATTTAAAATTGATAGCAGGTAAACCATTTCAGAAGGACTTGGTACACACACA